ACCAAAACTCTACATACAATTAAGTAAAGATAGCAGAGTTTGTGTACTGTTGTTGCAGGTCTGCTTAGCAGTTTGGAAAAAAACACTGAATCTTCATCATTGGTTGACCAACTTACTGAACCCAGTGTTAAAGTGCACGTGCAGAAGTGCCCTTGTAGCTTAATGGTTACGACATAACCCCACCATAAGCAGGGGTATGTCATATGCCTCTGTCTCGGACGGCTTACTATCTATATCTCTGCACTAGTCAAACTCCATCCATATTTTTTTATTTTATTTTTTGTGTTTTTAAAATAAGCTGTGTTAGGTCTTTGTGTGTAGTTCTTGTAAGCGGTCTCTGCCAGGGCTATTTCCCCGAAAAGCCAATGTGGCAGATACACCTCTTTATTAAAAGAGTTTGGTCGTGGCAAAGGAGTTTATTATGCCACCTTTTGGAAGCCAAAATTTTGTTTGGTTGCTGAATTTAGTGATTTTATGACAAGTGATCATGAGGTTGTCATGGATTTCACCCTGGATGTCATATGCACAATTCATATCCAATCCCCTCTAGCTCCAAAGATGTGGCAGCAATGTAAATCCCTGTGAAGGAACTAGCCAAACTCTGTCTGTCCATGGCTCTGGTCCCAACTGGTGGCAGGTAGCTGACACATCTCCAGGTTGCTATTTTTCCACATCCTTGTTATTTGCCTAGCTGGAAATGTCACTACAAAGCTTTGGTTGGCAGGCATTTGGAAAGCATCCTTTGCTTCTTCCCTTTTCCCCCCTACCCTATTTCATTTCATCTGCCCTTCTGTTTCTCTAATTACTGACCCTACCTGTTTCTCCTCTCATGTCATACCATCATGCATAAAACAATTTTTCTCACACCTTCAGAGGAATAGGCTGACATTTGCACAAGGATATTGTAGTCATTTACGTGCCCTAAAGGGCCTGAACATATAGAATCATACTATGTGAGAGATATTTTTGCCCTTATCTCTTACATATTTATATATGGGTAAACCTCAGTTGCTATGATCCAACACTGGAGCCATTAGTATATGAGATGAGTTAATATGAGATGTATTCTAATTCCCGTTCAGGAAAATTTGACTTGAGCGTAACATTTATTGCTGGCCATGCTTCAAAGCGTCATGTGGCACAAAACACAACAATACAAACGTAATGTCTTTTGACAAAAGGACTTGAACACTGCACATTCTCTTTTCATTCCCATCATAGACATAAAATACTGGTTACACTGCTGGAAATGTCCAGTTCATGGAAAGAAGCCTGCTTATTGAGAAGACATCAAGACTGCTCTTTGGTAAAAGTTTGTTAAATTGTTGTCACTTCATTTTGCTTGCTGGGCTTACCTGTCCCAAATTAACCAAATTGGGGAGTTTTAAACAGGACAGTGAAATGGCCTCTGTAGTCCGTCTGTACATACACAGAACAGCACAGTACTAATACAGTAAATTGCTGAGCTTTTAAAACAATTCACTTTAATTGTAGGTAGTCACTGAGGTCCTGAGATCATCTTAAATTTATGTGAAAATCTGAATTACTGTAAAATTGGCTATTGTACAAGAAAAAACAAAGCTACAACCCATCTTATGTAAAGCTGTAACTACATTTATCATAAATGGAAAAATGCCATTTTTCCCATTGGTCTATACTCAGTACACCATTATGACAGAGAGAGTAGTCTACAGATTTATTAAACATCAAACAAGTATTCTGATCATTTCTGCACTCCAAATTATGGTCAGGTGCATGTGTGATGTGTCTGGAATTTGACTGGAATCCGACAAATTGAAGTGACTGGATATTCAGAGTCTCCAAAAAGCTGGAGTACCCAAAGCAAACCCACACCGGCAGGGACAGAACATAAAAACTCAACACAAAGACCTCAGTCAGCTGGCAGGTGTATTTGGTATTGTATTTAGATTGAAGCCTTCACTTAGTAAACAAAGTCAAAAATATGAGATCACTGCCCCTAGAGTGGTTTGCCAATATCACAGTTAGATGCCATTTGTATGATAATGGCTGGATATATCCAGACTTCAGAAGTTGGGGGCGAAGCACATTTTCACTGAAAAATATCCAGCTTGTGAAGCATTCTATTATACATATTATTATTTCTTCAGTAGCATTTGTATCTTGTAAGGGAGCATTAGCTAGATGATTACAGGTAACACTTTTATGATCTGATCACTAAATGCCTTTCTCATACTGTAGTAGGCTAGTTTTCCCCCACCAGAGTTAAGAGACCACTGATAACACTGAGGAAATAACTGGAGCCACTGAAGAAATGTACCATATTTTTCTTCACACTTTCAATCCATTAAAAACACTTTCCCACTGTTAGCTTCTCTTTCTCATTCCATCCCTCCCAGCCTTTATTATGTGTAGTTCTGTGTCTTTGCATATGTGTGTATGTGTGACCAACAAGGCACGTTCATGTGCAGCTGGAAGAAGTCATTACTGAGAAACCTATAAAGACACTGTTGAGACTGGAGCTGCAGGAAAGGCAGTGTGCACACACGTGTGAATGAAAAAAGAGGTAGCCTTTAAATGACTGCACCTGTTTCAGTGCAGGTGTTTATGTCTCTGTGGATTAATGTATGGGTGTGTGTGAAAGGAAATCTTAATATACATTTTTGTGCGTGTCTGTGTGTAGGAATGGTCTTAGAATATATTCATTTATTAAGGGCTAAGGAAAGTTCCTGAGGCACTTGAGCATGACCCAGAGATTTATTCTAATTTCAGGGCCATGTACTGCTCCATGAGATGTACATCTGTAACATCGTTGCAATATGATAAAAGCAAAAATCACACTGGCATGAGTCACATCCACAGCCAAGAGCAGTCCATATAAAAGTATTCCAATCCCTCACATAAAGTTTTATAATAAAAAAGTCTATACAAAATCGCTTATACAGTACATCAGCAGGATTTAATTATGATATTTGTAACTGTGAGCCCATGTGTGACACAGAAATACAGTGGCTTTGACTTTCACTCAAGACTATGCTGTACACACACATGCACAGCAAGCGAAACACTTCTCTTTCTTTTAAATCTGAGTCTCCCTCATATGCAGTCAAACACACACACATTTACACAGTGGGGCATGACAGAGAGCTATTGACTGCCTCTACCTGGCCTGACAGACCATTCACAATTTCTCTCTGTGTGAAACCTAATGGACTGGAAGAGGTGAGTGTATTTGTGTGTATGGGAGAGTGAAAAGGGCGAATTGAGAGAGGGAAGGAAAATAACTTCATGACTATGAGTGTATATTTGTGTATTTGTTCTATGTGATCTTCGCTGCCTTTGTAAGCCTCATACATAAACTGTTGCAGTTGCTTTCTTTGATGTCTTTGGAGAGTGCAAGGAGTTGTAGGTTGACCCCAAAGTCAGTTTGGACTGAGCAGCACTACAGCACTTTATGACTGTTTTTCTCATGGCTGTTCCAAGTCAGTGGGTACAGAGTTCATCCAGCTACCAGGTGGAAAAGTACATCTGGATTCACGTGTGCATGGTCAAGGTTATGTGCTGCAGAAAAAGCCATCTTAAAATTTAGCACTGAAAAGTTCATTTTATTAAGAAATACCTCATTTGTATAACACTGCATGTTAAACCCACTTTCTACAACTAACATGTAAAGGAATAGTTGGGGTTTTTCAGCTTGGTAATAAAGCAATATTGATGAATCCCTGTGTATGTGAGAATAGGTCTTACTGGTAAAACACGCTGGAAGCATTTTTGGAAGTGTTTTCTACTTGCATCTGACACTGCAGATAAAATTCCATTATCTCAATCGACACTGAATCCGAGAGACACGCATTTCCCGTAGAGCCATTTTTTTTTTTTTTTTTTGTTTTTACACTTGATGAATATTTCTTCCCCCTCTGCTGCATTTAGTGAAGCGTAATCTCTACAGTCAGCTGTTTAAATCAGACAAATCCTGTTGTTTTCTATTTCTACTGGTATCTGTTATGACTGATCAAGCTGCTTGAGTTTCACTTTCACTTTCTCCCTCCAGGGAAACTTTTGTTGTTTTATCTCCCCGGACGGTACATTGCTCAGCTGTGGAGGAGGAATAAGTCATAGCAACAGTGTATAAAGTTATGTATTTTGACCCTCAATTTTTGCAGCGTAGAGGTGTTCTGTGTAGTATTCTCACATACACAGGAATATCAGTATTGTTTTAACACTAACTTGAAAAATTCCAAATTGCTCCTTTAACATTCTAGCATGAGATGGAGATAACCAACATCCATCACCTGTTGTTTCAATATAGAGAAGTAACTTTGGAAAAAATGTCTCTTTTATTATCTTCATATAAATCCTGAGATTTAATTGACTTGTTCAGGAATTAACATAAGACTGAACGATATGTGAATCAAGGCAGAATAAGAGATCAGCGCCATCATTATTAATCTGTGCAGAGTTTGATATGATGGACCTGTATTTCTGTTTTTGTCTTTATTTTTTTTTTCCATCTTTTCTAAGTTAAGTATGCATCTTCATCTGGTTACAAGGCCCGATTGCTTGTTGTGAGTGATATCTTTTCAGTGCACTTGTGAACTCAGTTGTTCTGGTGCCCCTTTGGTTCAGGTCTGACTGGCTTCATGACCTACAAACAGCTTCCTTGAGCCTTCAGCTATGTGTTTTCTACTCTTGTGGCCAAGTTTCTTTCAGACAATGCATTGAGTGCAACCATATGAAAAGTGCAAGATTTCATGTTTTACGTGAGATTGAGTTGAAATCATATATATTGTATTATTAATTTATTTAACATTTTATTAACAGTGTCATGATTTATAATAACTTAATGTGTTTCCAATGGCATAGATAAATGCATATGCAACATTGATGCATTTTTCTAAAATGAATGTAATTTTTCTTCCTGCCTCCCCTTCATTCTTTACAAGTTTCCAGGTTCCAGTTTCTTTTTCTTTCTGTACTTATCGTCTCATCTCTTTCTCTTTGGGTTTTTTCTCTCTCTCTAGAGAAGTGTGATGAAGCTCTAGCCTCTCCTCTGCCTCACACAGCCTTCACCAGCTCAACTGTTTTCTCCAGCGGATACACACCCGGATATGCCAAGCTCAACAAAAGAGGAGGTAGACATGCACACAAACAAACAGAAAAACCTGCAGATGTTCACACACTGTACTCACACATAGATAAATGATATACATAAAGGGTTGTGCATACACATATACTGTAGTCATGGGAACAAAATAAATGTCTAATTCAGGCACGTGTACATAAATCCTTATGGAGGATTTTACAAATGACACACAGAGATAAATACCCGAGCCTTCATGGAGTGACACGTCTCGTAGTGCTGCACAGATGCTCTCACCCTGCTCTTCCTCCTCCTCCTCCTTTTCTATTTTCACTCTATTTCCTTTTACTTCTCTATATTTTCCCTCAATTTCTCCACTTTCTCTCTCTCTCTCTCTCTCTCAGCTCTGGTCATTATCTCAGGGACTCAGCCTGGAGTTCATTTCCACACCAGGCCATAGCAGAGAGAGGGAGGACCACACAATTACACCGCTCTATGTTTATGCAATTAATAATTCATAGTTTTCCATCTAATATAGTCACACACCAGCTGAGGCAATAGAGCTCTGAGCTGGCTAATACAGGCAAGGTAATCTTGTGTGTTTAATCATACTGTACCAGTAGAAGTATTACTGAGAGAACAAGACTGCTCCTCCTTTATTCATGACATCTACCAGCAAGAAAAAATGATTCAAATCTGGTTCCTTTGTGATTGTTGTTGTAACAAGGAGTTACAGTAAAACTGAAATTAAAAAAGCTGAATAATGCACAGATGCTGTGTGAAATACACTTACACACTGTTCAAAAGACCTTTAGTTTTTCCTTCTATGCTTGGAGTTTAGCTCTAAATGGAACTGCATATCTCAACCACATCTTAAATAGGAAGTGTTTCTGAATAAGGCACATCTATCTGCTGATGTGTAGACTCAATTCAAGATTTTTTTTTGTTGTTTGAATAAAAAAGTCTTTTTTTCACTTCCAATTTAAAATTCTTTACCCAGACTGAATGAACCTTTGAACTGGCTAGAATCCAAAATCTTAATATCCAGTTGTTAAATCCAGCAGCTGGGGTATATCCAGAAATACTGTACAGTTTTTTTTCCATTTAGCCATAAATAATCTTCATGCTTCCTCTTTCATTACCTGTCAGTTTTGACTTACTCTATAATTAGTCACTGAACATGCTCTCGTGAAACCTAGCTTTTCTCACGTCTCCATATTTTTATAATCCAAATGACACTACATGACAGCCAGAACCACTGCTGTGATAAACAACAAACTGACAAACACCATCAGCTGCTGATCTAGTGTTAAATGTGCCAAAATGGGTGCATACTGAGACATGTCAAAGTACTGGAAGGAATGGAGGAAATGATATAAAGTACCATCTCATTCTCTGTGTCTTCGTGTCCTCTAGAGAATGGCACTGTGTTTGGATGATGAGGTCATCACCTCGTTAACAAAGTATATGACAGGGTTGGAATATAAATTTAGGGGGGAAAAAGAGGGGCAGAGAAGTTCTGCAGGAAGTAATGATAAAGTTACTTTCTATGAAAAAAGTACTAAACAAGGATAAGTAGTTATGTATCATAAAATCACCTTTTTCTTAAAACAATCTGATTTAAATTTTATAAAGGAAGATGTCACAAAATTTAACTCAGCTTCATTATGTTCTTGTCCCTTTTTAACACAGTATAGACAACACACCAATACAAGACAGACACAATAGAGTGTATGCACATGTAGTCACATATAAATAACATCCATCCAAACCAATATAACAAATACACATGAACACAATATGCACAGAAGAAGAAAGCCAGTGAACAGCCCATCAAGCTCGTGTGACACAAACAGTCACGGAAGCACACAAGAGCGCACAAAACACACACTAAACACCCATAATGTCACAGGAACACAAGCATCTTAACACTTGAGTTGATAAAAGCAGGATCACTCCACACTTGCCTCATGTATCCACAGAAGCGAAATTACTGCCGCAGCATGTATGTGCTCAAACTCAACACCCACAACATTCATGGAGGGGGTCCTCCAAGCAGCTACACTTGGCAGCCAAATGTGCTGTCAGTGGCATCACTGTGTGCTGATAAGCCAATCTACTCCAATGTCTCAGTGCTATGGAACAGAGGAGGCACAAAATCAATGGGATATACCACTCATATTAAGCTTGTGTTGTGAATGCTGACAGCTATTAGAGTTTTAGTCTGTAGGCATGTGTGTGAAGGTCTGTGCATCTGTATATCCATTTCTGGGTCTGTGTGTGAAAAAATGATGCCATTACGATTTTCCAGCATGCTGAATCCCAGCCCGTCATTAGGTACCTGGTTCATACCCTTGTTGTTCATTTAACTGCTGTGTGTTCCTGTGTGTGTGTGTGCATGCTATGTATGACAGACACGTACTGTGCTCTCCAGCCACATACAGTATGCATGTGTAAATGTGAGCGTGTACTCATACAGTATGTGTTAAGTGTATGCATTTTAGAGAGTATATTTGCAATCGTGTATATAAATGACTAAATAGTAGGGGTGTAAAGATGAACTGATACAAATTGGAAAATTGATACTAGACTCAGAGATTTGACTGCATCATTTCAAAACCATAGATTGGAACCAAATTCATAAAAAAACTCTAAAATTGATATGGATATCATAAACTAATCTCTGGCAAGTTTCATGCTGCTTCCCGCTGTGCTCTGCTGTGTTCCTGTGTGTTCCTGTGTGTGTGTGTGTGCATGCTATGTATGATGTACCAGCTCCTGCCAGCATTCAGTTGCTTTCCTACTTACGACCCAGGTCATAGGGAAAAAAAAATTCCACAAGGTAAAAACATGTCAGATGGCACCGTGTTGAACACATCAGCTAGCTTAAAGCTAGAGTGGGGAAGCATTTGGGCTTTTGCAAAAACAATGAAGGGATCTTTGATAAAATAACTGCAGTGTTGCGAAACATGCAGCACTTAGTATACAGGGTGTACGATAAACTCTGCTACAACATGGTGTTGAGTCACAGAAAAAAAGAATAAAAACACTGGGCATAGTACAGATAGCTACAGGAGCAAGTAACAATGCTGGTGTTAGCAGCCACTTTCAGACTGCAGAACATGCAGCACTTGTGTCGAGTTCCCGAGAGTACCATGACCTCACTACTCACTTATGAAGGCAAGCCAGTATTGAACCGATGGAAACAGTACTTTTAGCTGTGAGAGCAGTCAGCCTGAGGCGAGTAACAGTGGTAGTGTTAGCAGCTATTTTCAGAACACATAAGATGGCAATTCCAGCCATTTGAAGTCAATAACTGAAGCTATAAGCTATTTCATTTACAAGGACACATGCCTGTGTTGCTGAAACAGTGGTATTTAGACAAATGATAGTGACACTGAAGCTGAGGTACGTAATAACAAGTCGGCAGGATTTCAGTAAAAAAATGCATCCCAGCACTGTGTAAGGTGAAGCAACAGGTGGATGCGGTGCAAAGGTTCTGTGTGTACCAGTGCCCATACTAGTGTGCTGTTGAAAAGAGTATATGTTTTATCAATTTGGTTTTTGCTGCTTGAAATATAAAACTGCTCTGAGGAAACATCCGCTATTTTTGTTTATTCCGTACCCTAAACACATACACAGTAATGTATCTGTAGTTTATCAAATAGAAAATTAATTAAAATTGAATATCAGCTGAATCCAAAATAAATCACTCTATCATATTCTTACAAATTTTTCTGTATTGTTTTCGTATTGAATAATGGACCAGGTATCAGGATTTAGATTCAATTGTATAAGAGGGAGAGATACAGTGCACACTCCTACTAAACAGGAGTCAGGTCATACACATATGCTTTATTTATTTAAAAGCCGAGACTGGTTAATGTTTTGGCTATGGCTCCTAAAGCACAGTTTGGAAAGCACAGTTTCTCTCAAGCTATTACATCAGGCAGTGCACAATATTTCTACATTAATATCATGGCATCTTAGTTAGATCAATTCAATTTGATTGTCTGTTGCTGATGAAGTCCATTATAACATTAGATGTACTACGAGGTAGATTTGTTTTATCACAATTATTATTTTTGTAGTAGCAGGGGCAGATTCTGCCTCTGGGTTTTGGAGACAGATAGACTGATAAAGACTATTTGTCTCTGTGCCCCTTTGCACTCATGCAGCAAAGTGCAAAGGAAATGGATTTAATGAATAGTAAACAAGCCTATAAGTATGAAACAAACATAAATGCTGTATTTCCATTATGTTTTCACCATTTGAGGATTGCCTTTTTTAATGGTGTCATCTCATTGTACCCTCTTCATCTGCAGTGCTTTAATGATGCAGACTGGAGAAGCTTAATCTCAGCGAACCACTTCCTAATATTTGCATAACGTTAGTGAATCAAAATGTGCATTCATTTGCTTGTTGGGGATGTTCTTGAAACTTTGTTAATATTTGTAAAATGCCTTAAAGGAAACACAGCTGTTACCATGATTCTTTCTTACCTTATTCCATAACTCCTCTTTCTCGATTCTCACCACCAATGTACATTCTCCTGTCCACTCACTATCTATTCTTAATTCTGTTTTATGTCAACCAGAATAGCCCATATGTCAACAATAATACACTTAACAATAATCCTTTATATATATCAGAGACTGAGATATCTTACGTTTAGTCCCTAATATGCACAGCTTCCAAAAACCCTCGATCCTACATTTTCCATGATGCGTCTGAATGGCATCTTTTCATAGACTTTCCATGCATAGTAAATGCCCGATCAATTGTTCTCCAAGCTCCCAGCTGGAAAACTAGGTTTCTGTCATCTCTCAGGCTGGGACAACCAAAAATGTTTCATATGAGGTCCATATATATTTTAGAATTGGCAACCCTCATCCAGAAGCACAGAGGACATTATGCAGAACTATAACAAATTGTCTTGGGAATGCCCCTTTAAGAACACACTGTAAGCATGTACAATAATCAAATTTACGGACACTATCACAACTCTTTCTCTGCTCAGGTCATGTAAATTTTAGGCCCTAAAAACAGTGT